CCACCAAGGCAGAATGGACTTTAAGGGAGAAATAGTCTTCGACCACGTGGTGTTCTGGTTTTGCTGTGCTGACCAGCAGGTGAAGACACGCCGATCCTCCTTTTCCCTCTGGGATCTGGCAGGTAAGGCTCTTCTCACCCCAATTAGGAAGGAAGCAAAATGGCAATTTAAGTGTCACTGAGTGGAAATAGCAGAAGTACATAGGGTACTGAGAACTTCGTAGACAGAACGAAAAGGAAAAGTAGAAGAAGGTCTGAGAAGGTAAGCAAGATGGGGTGAAGTGAATCTAAGGCAACTGTACTGGAGTGCATGATTAAAAATTTAAAGAAGGGATTAGGAGGAGACTATGGGGTGAAGATATTGTCACCCTGCTTATTTAACTTATATGCAGAGTACATCATGAGAAACGCTGGGCTGGAAGAAGCACAAGCTAGAATCAAGATTGCTGGGAGAAATATCAATAACCTCAGATATGCTGATGACACCACCCTTATGGCAGAAAGTGAAGAGAAACTAAAAAGTCTCTGATGAAAGTGAAAGAGGAGAATGAAAAAGTTGGCTTAAATCTTAACATTCAGAAAACTAAAATCATGGCATCTGGTCCCATCACTTCATGGGAAATAGATGGGGAGACAGTGGAAAGAATGTCAGACTTTATTTTGGGGGGCTCCAAAATCACTGCAGATGGTGATTGCAGCCATGAAATTAAAAGACACTTACTCCTTGGAAGGAGAGTTATGACCAACCTAGATAGCATATTAAAAAGCAGAGACATTACTTTGCCAACAAAGGTCCGTCTAGTCAAGGCTATGGTTTTTCCAGTGGTCATGTATGGATGTGAGAGTTGGACAGTGAAGAAAGCTGAGCACCAAAAAATTGATGCTTTTGAACTATGGTGTTGGAGAAGACTCTTGAGAGTCCCTTGGACTGCAAGGAGATCCAACCAGTCCATCCTAAAGGAGATCAGTCCTGGGTGTTCATTGGAAGGACTGATGCTGAAGCTGAAACTCCAATACTCTGGCCACCTGATGTGAAGAGTTGACTCATGGGAAAAGACCCTGATGCTGGGAGGGATTGGGGGCAGGAGGAGAAGGGGATGACAGAGGATGAGATGGCTGGATGGCATCACTGACTCGATGGACATGAGTTTGAGTAATCTCCGGGAGTTGGTGATGGACAGGGAGGCCTGGTGTGCTGCGATTCATGGGGTCGCAAAGAGTTGGACACGACTGAGCAACCGAACTGAACTGAACTGATCGGGTGAAGATGAAGCCTGACCACCTCCACATACTCTGTGAGGTTGAATGGCCCCCTGTGGGAGCAGGATGGCCACCAGAGAACACCATGAACTCAAAAATAGTGTAAGCATCTATACAGGAGTCACAGGAGAGCCAGGACACCTGGATCAATATCCATATATTGACTCATGGCTAGGATTAGCTCAAGACCCTCCTACTTGGACAAGGTTCTGTATCCAGAAGGGGAAGGGAAAAATATTAATGGCACAAAAATTGATTGATGATAAAAAAGGAAATTCTACAGGATTTGGACGGGGATGACCTGACCCCTCCCCCATGCTGGATAAAGACACGCCTGCCTCCCAGTGCTCCACCAGGACCGGAGGCCGCCTTAATGCCCGATCCAGGGCCAGGTGAAGTTCCTGCAACAGCCACTGCTCCTCCGCCAGCTCTCCCGGAGTTCGTAGAGCCTCCGTTTTGGCAGGCTCTGATCCCGGTGACAGAAGGCTCTGGCCAACACTTCCAGGATCCGTCTCCAGCCCAACCGCCCAAGTTATACCTGCCTCTCCCGGTGAGTACTGGCAAGAAGGGGAGGAAGGTGTTGGAATTAAGCAGAGACTACGCTCTGCCAGAGAGCCAGGGGGAATGAAAGAGAACAGACAAGAGACTTACAGTGCAAGCTGCTGCTCTGGGAAAGTCTATCTCAGGCCCTCCGGAAAACCTCCTCTGCCCCAGGGACAGGACAGCCCTTCAACCGGTCCCAACGGAGGCCCCGGGGCCCGTTACAGCCAAACCAGTGTGCCCAGTGCCGAGCTTTTGGCTACTGGAAGAATGAATGCCCTAAGGCAAAGAAGGAAGAGGAAGCTCCCATGGTTGTGGGGCTTGCTGACTTGGAAATTAACTAGGGCTGCCAGGGCTCAGAAATATCAGGTCCCCAAGAGCGCATGGGGGGGCTCTCCCATGGGTAAAAGTGGGGGACCAAAACATTGACTTCATGGTGGATACAGTAGCAGAACTGTTGGTAGTAACAAAACCTGCGGCACCACTGTCCAAAAAGACTACCAGTGTAACTGGGGTATCGGGAGAAGAAATGATTAAATCATTTTGCCAGCCCAGAAAATGTCAGATGGGGGGGCACCAAGTGATTCATGAATTCCTCTACATTCCTGAGTGCCCAGTACCCCTGTTGGGGAGAGACTTGCTCTCCAAGCTAGGAGCACCAGTGACTTTCTCCCCTGAGAGGCCCACCTTCCAGATGGACTCTACGACTTACTTGCTGTCTCTCTCAATACCCCCACAAGATGAGTGGAGGTTGCATGAGCCTCCGAAGGAAGAACTGGGTGGGCCGGAAGAGCATGAGAGAGAACTAACTCAATTATTCCCTGAGGTCTGGGCAGAAGATAACCCCCCTCTCCCCCCAGGCTGGCTAAGCATCAAGCCCCAGTGATAACAGAACTCAAACAAGGCACCATCCTGGTTAGAAAGCTCCAGTACCCACTACTGATAGAGGCCTGGGCTGGCATACTGCCCCACATCAATAGATTGAAACAAGTGGGCATTCTAGTAGAGTGCCAGTCGGCTTGGAATATGCCGATCCTGCCAGTCAAAAAGGAAGGACAGGACTATAGGCCTGTACAAGGTCTCAGGCTAGTCAACCAGGCTACTGTAACTTTACACCCCACTGTTCCAAACCCCTATACCTTACTTAGCCTCCTCCCGCCGAGGACTAAAGTTTACACTTGCCTAGATCTCAAGGATGCCTTCTTCTGCGTACGTCTCGCCCCAGCGTCACAGCCCATCTTTGCCTTTGAATGGGAAGATCCAGTCAGGGCACCAAACAACAGCTCACCTGGACCCCCCACCCCCACCCCCACCCCCACAAGGGTTTAAAAACTCCCCAGCCACCTTTGGGGAAGATTTGGCTTCTGACCTGGACTCATTCCATCCAGAAGAGTATGGATGTCGGCTCCTACAATACGGGGATGACCTGCTGCTGGCTGCCGAGAAAAATGCTGGAAAGGGACAAGTGCACTGCTCCAGCTGCTGATGGATGCAGGTTACCGGGTGTCGAAGAAGGTACAGATCTGCAAGGAGGAGGTGAGGTAAGGTATCTGGGGTTTGTTTTAAAGAAGGGCTCAAGGTTCCAGACCCTAGTTGGGTCCTATATACTGATGGCACTAACCTGATAAAACAAGGACAATGGCTGTCAGGTTAGCCAGAGGGGAAGGGGCCATCAAGACTGAAAAGTGATGGTGGGAATTGCCAAGTGGCAAATTATTGGTACCGGAGGAGCTAGCACACACTCTGGTCAGCCAAACACACCAAGCGACCCACCTAGGCCATGCTGCCTGCTCACAGGTTAATGCTGCCTCTCGGATATTCAGACAAAAACCTCCGGGTATTCAGCTGAAAGGCACGCTGCCCCTTGAACACCTGGGAGTGGACTTCACTGAAATGAAACCTCACCGACACTACCATTACTTGCTGGTCATGGCATGTATGTTCTCGGGTTGGGTAGAAGCTTTTCCTACCTGGACTGAAAGGGCATCAGAAGTAGCCTGGTGCCTGCTAGGGAAATAGTTCCCAAATTTGGGCTTCCTAGCAGCACTGGATCAGGCAATGGCCCGGCTTTTGTAGCTGATTTAGTATAACAAGTAAGCAAAACTTTAAACATCAAATGGAAACTGCACACTGCGTATAGGCCCAGAGTTCTGAGATGGTGGAATGAACCAACTGGACACTTAAAAAAGAGACTCTCCGTCCAGGAAGACCGCTGAATCACTGAGCAACCAACCAATTCCACGACCAGATGCTCCAGAACTAGAAACTTCAGAAATAAAGCTGGTGGCTTCCTTTGAAGACTCTTGCAGCTCTAATGCCAAACAGCAGACTCTTCTAGCAGCTCCAAGGTACCCTCAGGAGTTGCTTTTACCAAAGCCCAAAGTGGCTTTGGTTAAATTCCCCGTCATGCAGTTTTCTCCTGTGCCCGTCTTCGTGCCTACAGCCGACTCCTCGGCCCAGCCTGTGGTGTTGGGTGTCGACCAGCAGGGCTCTGCCCCTGGGGCCGTGAACTTACTGCCCTTGTCCATTGGAACCCTGATCCTCGGCCTGGATTCGGAGGCCTGCTCTCTCAAGGTGAGCCTCCCTCTTTCAAAAGTTGTCAATCCTGTTGCTGTTGAGCCAATTAGCACAGGTATTCAAGTGAACTTGGGTAAAAGTCCATTTAGCCCATTACAAGAACTTGGGAACACTTGTCAGAAGAACAGCATTTCTTCCATCAATGTACAGACAGACCTGTCCTACACCACACCACAGTTCATGCCGTCTGCACAGTGGGCCAGCCCTGACTCCTCTGTGTCGTCCTGTTTGCAAACTGATTTGACATTTGGTTCCCAGGTTTCCCTTCCCATTAGTGTTCAAACTCAGACTTTTTTGCCCAGTTCTAAGGTAACCTCATCCATCGCTGCTCAGACTGATGCATTTATAGATGCCAGTTTCCAGCCAGGTGGGATCTCCAGAGAAACTCAGACCAGCGGAATGCAAAGCCCAGCAGAGGACCGAGTACAGATGGACCAAGCTGTAATGTGTGGAGACATTTTTGAGAGTGTCCATTCATCATACGGTGTGTCTACAGACAATATTATAAGCAGCGGCTTAGCAGAGACTATAACTCATGACTTGTTACCTCAGAACCACCCTAAAACTTTAACTCAAGACATTGAGAAATCCACCCCAATTATAAACTTCAGTGCACCAAATAGTATGCTTTTGTCACAGAACATGACAGATAATCAGACCCAAACAATGGATTTATTAAGTGATCTAGAAAATATCTTGTCAAGTAACCTACCTGGTCAGACGCTGGACAATCATAGTCTTTTGTCTGACACCCAGCTCCCATCTGGCCCAACCCAGAATCCTGCAATTGATTTTGACATCGAAGAGTTCTTTTCAGCCTCAAATATACAGACACAAACCGAGGAGAGTGAGCTTAGCACCATGACCACTCAGCCAGTCTTGGAGTCACTGGACATAGAAACCCAAACTGACTTCTTCCTTGTAGACCCTTCTGCCCAGGCCTACAGTTGTAGGGGGAATTCTAGCTTCTTAGGCCTTGAGATGTTTGACATGCAGACACAGACAGACCTGAACTTCTTTTTAGACAGTAGCCCCCGTCTGCCACTGGGAAGTATCCTGAAACACTCTAGCTTTTCCATGAGTACTGATTCATCTGACACAGAGACCCAGACTGACGGAATCTCCACTGCCAAAAACCTGCCTGCCCTGGAAAGCAAAGTTCAGTTGAACACTGCCGAAACACAGACCATGAATTCTGGCTTTGAAACTTTGGGGAGCTTATTCTTCACCAGCAACGAAACTCAAACAGCAGTGGATGACTTTCTTCTGGCCAGTCTGGCCTGGAACACGATGGAATCTCAGTTCAGCTCTGTTGAAACCCAGACGTGTGCAGAACTACACCCAGTCTCCAACTTCTGAAAGCGGAGTCCACATGGGGGATGGATTCACAGTTCCCTTCTGGATTTAGAAGATGAAGAACAGGGACAACAGTATTAACTCCACTGAATGTAGTCGATGATACAGTTACTTTGATTCTTTGAGGTTCTTTGCCTTTTTGTACTTGTAAACATGAAATTTGTGTAAAAATTTGTGAGTGTATTATAAAGTATAAGATGTTAATCTGAAAAAAAAGAAAAAAGAGACTCCCCAAGTGGATCAGAGAGACTGACTGCTCCTGGGTGGACTTGCTTCCGACGGCTCCGCTCAGACTCAGGATGACCCCACAGTCCCAAGGCTATTCTCCATACGAAATTGTGTATGGGAGGCCCCCTCCCATAATAAAACAGGTGTCAACACATTTGCTTCAGGTAAGGGGGGATAGGATTTCACAGCAGATGGAACTGGGTAAGGTAAAAAATCGGGTAACTAAGTTTGTACAAGAAAGGGTGCCGTTCCCCCTTGGGGAACAGATTCATGAGTTTATGCTTGGTGACCAAGTATGGGTCAAAGATTGGAAACATGATTTGCTAGCCCCTTGGTGAAAGGGCCCTATGTTATTCTAACTACCCCTGCTGCAGTTAAAGTTGCAGGTATTGTCCATCATACGAGGGTGAAGAGAGCATACCACGCAGACCCAGAAAACGCTGAGTGGACTGCACAGAGGGACCCCGCTGACCCTCAAGAAACTAAGACCATCCTTAAAAAGAAGGAAAAGAAGATCCCGGATGAGCCCCTTCAGGATGAAGCTGCACAATCAACTCCTGCTGCTTGGCCTCATCAAAGTGATTTTGAATTTAACTTCTGTTTCAATTCAGGACAATGTTTTAACCTCATGGGCACATTCCTACATGGACTTCCACAACACCTACAACTGCTGGGTATGTGGGGCTATGTCTCTGTCAGTGATGGATAGACTTCCTTGGTGGGTGTCACCGCTCTGCCAAGGAGATTTTAAACCACTCTGCTCTTTTCTGGGATGACAAAAAGAGACTTTCCTCTCTCTTGTCAATCATAACCTCTCCTTGCTCTCTTGGTATAAGACCTACAGTCAGTAGACTCGGGTCATGGGGTTACATTTGATATAAATGCCAGTGTAACAAAAGCCTAACCTACAACAAGCCCCAACAAATCTACCTTATTTACATGCTAGGTGGACAAGATCTGTGTTTCAATGGTATGAGTATATTGCTGCCTTATTCGTACCCTCTATAGGGACAACAGATATTATGATTAAAGTGGAGGCCTTGACTAATTTCACAAAACAGGCCCTCCTAGATAGAACAAAAGCCATCCAAGCCTTAAATGAAGAGCAAATCCAAATGAGAAAAGTGGTAATTCCTAATAGAATGGCTTTGGAAATAGTCACAGCTGCTCAAGGAGGGACCTGTGCTATAATTAAGGTTGAATGTTGTGTATACATTCCTGACTTATCTGGCAATGTATTGACTGCTTAGGATGACATGAAAAACCAGGTAAAAGCAATGTCAAATGAAAACATTCCTTTCTGGACTTCGGTCCTATCTTGGGTGGAGGGCGATTGGTGGAAAACTACATTTACCACTGTTATAGTTGCCCTGATAGTTCTGCTTTGTGGACCCTGAATTTTACAATGTATTATGAATTTTGTAACCCAGAGGTTGATAGCATTCTCTCATGTGGGTGGCCGGAAGGCTAGGGTACAATATATCACAATAAATGATGCTCGTTATAGAAACTAGGAGCATCAAGAGTGGGGAGTGAAGAAGGAATTCATAGGGCCTGGACTCCGTCTCAGGCCTGTTCATGCTGATCACGCTTGGCCACCTCTCCAATGGACTCTGTGTTCAGTGCCTGTGGGAACGACGACAGAAGGATAAGACCCCCTCCAGACAGGGGAACCTTGAAGATCGTATCCAGGTTACTCATCACCTAAGAGAACACAGACACTAATCACCCCTTCCTCCAGACAGGCCATGAATTTTCTGTACCTGTCGGAGTGTAACCTCAGGCTTATTGATTATTGGCTAATTGTTTAACTGCCTGAGCATGTGGCACATGAGTGATGGGGTTACTGGGATTGTATTTACCCTTCCTTAGTTTATGTAAGTCTCAAGGAATTTGGGGTGGTGGGTTCAGACATGTACACATGGGGTATAAAAGATTTTCACAAATGCTGGTTGGGGTCCTTGGCTAAGAGGAGACTCTGCCTTGGGCCCGCCGGTGTAATAAACTGCACTACACTATCTGCATTGTCCTTCTGAGTGAGTTTGTTTCCCAGAACACATGGCTACAACAGGGCTACTGGGTTTAGGCCTGTAGCTCTGGGGTGCTGTCCATCCCATGGTGCTGAAACTCCCCCGCCCCCGCCCCGCCCCGCCCACCCCGACCTCTGCGCCCTAGGAGAAACCGCATCCCCACCTCAGGGGGACGCCCAAGCTCCAAGGCGTGTTCACATTGGTCCAATAACCCTCATGGGTCATCAACTGCCTCAACAGTTCAGACCATCATTGGTTTGAACTGGAGGCATGTAGGGGCTCTGAGGTTGCCTGAGGAGGCTCGGAGAATGGCCAGACCCAGGGACCGTGGGAGTGGTGGGCAGAACTCCAACCTCATGCTCTGTCCTAGTGTTAGTAGGAACTCACACATTGTGAACACAGCCCTTGCCCATTCTAAACCTGTCTTGTGAATTGTTTGGTGAGACTGGGAAGGCCTCCCTCAATTTCCAGGGATTGGACCCCCTTATGAGCATCCAAGCTGTGCAGACGCTGCTACCTGGCAGATAATTTTTGAACCAGGGGCTCTGGTTCAAAACCTGCGGCTGCAGACGCCTTTGGCGGGCTGCTTCCCCGCGCCCTGGGAGGGTGGATTTCCAGCGAGAAGACTGCACATGACTTCCCCCAACAAGCAGGGCCCCCTGTTAAGGACAGAAAAATCCCTCGAACTTCCTCCCCTGCACCTTTCACACAGTGAATATGCCCTCCTTGGACTCTGGGTGACCCCCAGCTTGTGCGGGCGTCCCCCATCCCGTGCTCCCAAAGTCCGAGCAAGAAAGAAGGTGCTAGCGAGTCCCCAGGTAGAGTACAGCCGCTTCCGGTCCAGATGTTTTGCCCTTGAGGGTGTAGATGGAGAGATTACCCAGAGAGCTAAACGCGATAGCACAGGTAGTAATTCTGAGAAGCCCGAAGAAGATGGGGCTAGTTCAGAAACCAGGGCTCAGTCACAGTGAGCAGCCAGGACGCGGGGCTCACGCGCTCCCGAGCCCGGGGAGGGTCCTGCCGCACCTGCGCGTCCCTTGTGACTCTGCACGGCCTTCCAGGGCCGCCCGCAGCTCAGGAACTTCCGCGCCTTCTGATGACCAGCCCCGGGCGCAGTGTGAAACCAGACAGTGGAGGCAGAAGTTTGCGGAACCGGTGCTGTCCAGCGTGTTCCCCGCGAGCCGAGCCTGCGGCAAGCCTCAGCACTACCTCCCGGTGAGGGCTGAGCCGGGTGGCCGGTGCTCGGGTGCGAGTGGCGAGTGCCTCAGAGTCTCGCGCCCCTGCACACAGCCGACGGCGCTCCGGAACAAGCGAGTGTGCAGCGTTTCCTGCGAGTAAGCAGAACCGAGCCAGCCAAGGACTCCACAAGCTGCTGCTGGTCCACGGACTCTACCAGGCGCCGCTGCCTGGCAGCTTCCGGGCGCCCTAGGAGGGTGGAGAGCCAGCGGGAAGACTGCGCATGCCCGCCCCCAACTCGGATCTGCTACAAAAAAGAATCGCAGAAGCCCCTGGTTCAAACACGAAGATTTTCAAGAAGGCAACGGCAGAACATTAAATCAAGTGCAGCCCTTGTGCGACTATACAAGTCCCATGCCCCTGAAGCCAGCCCTGCTCCTACCCACCCAACATGAAATTCATTTAATAAACTTTACCCTGCAAGGTTAAGTTTGGGGTTACTTACTAAGGCATAATCACTGCCCCCTTCCTCTGTTGCCATAAGGGAAGAACCAGGGCAGATTGATCTGGCCCTTCCACAGGGACCCACCTGTATAGCCCTTATCAAAGGTGGGAAGTGATCTTTGCAGCCTTGCTACATCTCAGCTTCTATCTGCAGCTCGGACACCTTCATCCGTTCTCCGGGCAAGCGGGAGCCAGAGCCGCGGAGTCACTTCCTGAAGTAAGGGGCTTGGGCCGGATCTTCAGAGGACCAGCGCTGGTTAAGCAATCTGCCTCATTCTGAATAACCCCTGCTATTCTGTAAAGGAAAGCGAACCTGCCATAACCCATCTGGTTTTGTTGTTTTGTCTAGTGCAATGTCTCTGTTCCTACTCCCTCTGCCTACGTAAGTCTTTCATTTTGTACAGCTCCTCGGAACTCCATTCCATCTACTAGATTGGATGCTGCCCAATTAATCATCATTGAGGGACTTCCCTGGGTCCGGCGGCTATGACTCCATACTCCCAATGCAGGGGGCCTGGGTTCAGGGAACCAGATCCTATATGCTGCAACTAAGAGTTTGCCTGCCACAAATAAAGATCCTGAATGCTTCAGCTAAGACCCAGCACAGCCAAATAAATAAATTAAATTTTAAAATAAATTAATCATTGAATAAAGCCAAACAGATCTTTAACGTTTACTCAGCTAAATTAGTTCTTATCAGAGCTAAAGATCTGAATACCAGGTATCCGGTGGACCTAAAGAATTGTTTTTCAACTCTTTGAAAGGTTCCCCAGAACTGAAAAAGAAACACTAGGGAAAGACAGACTAACCCAAGGTTAAACAGGAGGAAGAAGTTTTAAACTGTCAAGGGCACAGAACTGTTGGGAGGGCAGGGACAGCAGAGGGCGCTGTTGTTGTGTAAACACGCCCATAGGAAGGGGCCCCCACAGGCATGCATTTTTTCCCACATTGTCTCTGCAAATCTACACAGAAACACATTCCTTACTCCCTGATCCGTGCAACGCTCCCCCCGCCAGCCCCGGCCCATATTCCCCATCTTACAACTGCTTCAGCAATCAAAGAGTT